TGCTGGCTATTGCTCCATTTAAAGCTTTAAACTCCATTTTCAATTTAATTTTTCTATTATTATTCTTTTTTTTCTAATGCTACCTGAATGATGATAAAAAATTGTGCAGACTACGAGGTGCAGACTAATGAACTTTCAACCATACTGCAAAGCTATAAATTGTGAGCAGACCCCTGTTTTAAATATTGCAACATCTTGCCACTGCCTTGTATGTATACCTCTTTGTAAAACACTAAGGAGATTTTACTGTGTTTACGTTAAATAACGTAATTTTTGTTGGGCGAAATTTTAATAACATGTTGTTTAAGTATCTAAAAACCCAATATTAATGCCAAACAAAATAATTCAATTGTTAAACCTTCAGCCAGTCTGATTCATAAGTGAAAAGTACAAAGTACGATGCGCTCTGTTGAACGCAACCTTTACCTGCTACATAGCCAGTATACTATCCGGGAGAGTGAGAGATAGCATAATTGTCTAAAAATTGGCCTGCCTGAATTTCTCTCGTGAAATTTGTGTACACAGAAAGTTTATAATAATAGCTTTACGGCACTTTTTGCGATCACCACGTTATTGAAATTTCTTCATAAGATTGTGTCCTTTCATCATCATCATCATCATCATTTCAGCCTGTTGGAGTCCACTGCTGAACATAGGCCTCCCCCATAGACTGCCATGAAGTACGATCCTGAGCCACCTGCATCCATCGACTTCCTGCACATTTGCACAGGTCGTCACTCCCATCTAGTGGGGGGTCGTCCTACACTGCGATGGCCAGTACGAGGCTGGCACTCGAGTCCTTTATTATGTATTAAATATTATTGTAACTCGTTTATTCAGTAAGAATATTTATGGTGTTTATATTGTATTAACATAACTTCTTAATTAATTGATTTTGAGGCCTTAAAGTTCGTTAATTATCGTTAACATCTAACCACTCCGTATAGTAGTAAAAAGTTTAATTAAAGTCACCTCAAAACGTATAAGGGGAAAACGAGAAAGTGCTTCGAGCGAATGAATGTTCAACAACTGTCTAAATAAAATAGGTGATACATGAAGTATTGTCTTCGCATCAACCTTTCGAATGAAGCAAGTTGTTTTATAACTCCCAAAGGAATGTTGAATGAACATTCCGTAACAGCAGTCAGTCATGCGGAAGGCGTTCGGGAATTTACACAATTGCATTGATATTAAGTTCGTTAGTATAAGAGTTGTATGCTGTTGAAGCGTTGCTTTATGTTTCGATATTATTTTTGTTTTGTCATCCGCAAGGAGTGTTGTTTTGTTTTGTATTACATTAGGCAAATACTTACAATGGTTGTACTTACAATGAAATGTTCACTGTACGCGATCTAGTGCGGTTTTTTCTATTAAGGAATCAAAAAGATAAAATTGCTCAAAGGTATTACATATCAGGATTCTTTTTAAAAAATAATCTCTTATAAGTTGCTATGTAGGACGATTGTGGCTTTGTTTTAAAAATAAATAGCATGTTAATGAAAAAGAGTCGTGTAAAAATCTATTTCATTTCCTTAGGATACATATAAGTAGATGTACTGAGTCGTACGAAGGATGATAAAATGACTTTTATGCCCTAAACGTAAAGATAAAAAGTTTATTTGTTTCCGTTATCGTATACAAATAGACAAACCAGTGAAATGTAAAAAGCAAACACACGTTTATATATTATGTATTTGAATTTTCATTTTATTTTTATACAAAAATATTTTTGTATATAAATACAAAAGGGGTTTTGAGCATTGCTGGAGACTCAAATTTTTTTAGTATAATAATTAACTGATGTCTTGATGTCTTCCCCCGTGATCATCAGTTTTTGAGACAGTATTGAAAGTATTTGAAAGAACTTGGATGATGCATTAAGTAATAAATGGTTACAATCGCTAAGTCAAATTCTTAAAAGATGTAATGAAATCTACGAGTATATATAAATTCTCGGGTCACGGTGTTAGTAATTGAACTCCTCCGAAACGGCTCGATCAATTTTCGCGAAATTTTGTGTGCATATCGGCCAGGGTAGAGACAATTGGACAAAATCTATTTTCCTTATTTTTTTCTTTTTCATCCCCCTAGATTATAAGGGTGGTCCACCCCAATACATTTTTTTTCTACCCTAAAAATTCCTTAGAAATAATTTATACGGCAAGACAATGTTTTCCGAGTCAGCTAGTATTATATAAATTTTATTAAGGTTCAGGACAAATAAAGGCGTATATTAAGGATTCATACTATAATTACGTTTATTTTAGTGACCCGTACCATAAAATATTTAGGTAAATGGTGAATCTCACCAACACTCTTCACAGTTAGCTAACATGGGTAAAACTTTGTTACAGAGAGCATCAGGGATCTGTGACAGTGAAGGTTTAAGAAATTTATTAAAGAAAAAAAATTATGATATATTATGATATATGATAAAATTATGATATATTATGATATATTAAAGAAAAATATTATCAATGATATAAATATGACAATAAGCTCTAGGAATGAGTTGTTCGCTCCCAAGCTATTTCTAAAAGGTAAAAAAAATCAGTTGTATATCATTCTAATTTTACAAAAAAGAATACCTACGGATATATTTCGCCTGCTTCTTCTCCGTTAGAGGAACCTCATTAGGAAACGTCGGTAGATTTAAAAAAAAATCACTTGATACATGAAATGTTGTTTCTTATGTCGATTAAATTGTTTTGATCTTTTTTACTATATCGTTCAAGCGATAAACGAATCTTTTATTTGTATTCAAATTTTGCAGTAGTTCGAAAATCTGATTTTGCGCGGAACCGCACCAGAACAAGGCGATAACAGCACCTCGCTCTTCTATAAACTTCCACTCCATGTTTAAAAATAGTGTAAATATGTTCATTCGCCGCGCAACCGGTGCACAGTGGTATCAACGCAACGTCGACCTGCACAGTGATAGCAGACTCCCGACGATTCGCGAACATTTTAAAGATCTCACCAAACGTTCATCAGGTTCTTCGAAAGAGCTGACGCCATCCCAACTCTCTGGTGGTAAGCGCAGCAAATTACCAACCCGACATTAACGCGAACGTCAACAAGCGTCGCCCGCGCAACGTCCTCATCGATCCGGTCGAGGAAGGGGACTGTTGCCAAACTGTCCTAACACAAGTGGAATGGCGAATATCTAGTGCAATTACCAATAGATACTGCTAACGTGTCAACTACCAAAATGATACACTAATTCTGTACACAGATAATATTCGGAGATACACCCCGCAGTGGCCTCCAACCTCCCCTATAGCCACCCCAAGCCTCGCTTTACACTGATTTAGTCTGAACTGTTTCTAGTCTGATTTCCCCTGTCCGCAGACAGCCAAGGATCTCTGATACTGATGCTGATGCTGATGCTGAGATTCATCTCAGCCTGATCTGTAACTACCGTCCGCAAACGGTCCGAGCGCCTCGGTTACCGAATCTTATCTGGTTACCACCGTCCACGACGGTCCGAGCGCCTCGGTTACTGAATACACTGACTGATACATCTGGTAAAAGATACACGGGTATGCAATATTACTGAACTGACTCACCGACAAAGCTTCCGCACTACACTACTGATCTCTCTAATTAACAACACTAACTAACAACACACCGACTAATTGCCCCGAGGTGTCGTCCCATCACACTTTTATATCCCTCTTGCTACATTTCTACCCTCATTATGACAATTAATTATCTCCTAAAATATTCAACTACCCTTTTCATGTATACAAATTAATAACTGCTTCGCATTCGCGACAGGGGTTTAAGAACATTGGACCCACCGACGGGGGTCCCACCAAATAACACTAGACACTCAGTTAGTGCATCAACAAACACCATAAATTTTAAAGTTTTTTATAGTGCTAATCTCTGCACTTAAGATTGAACATTAAATCATGTTGAAAAAGTGCTTCAAATGCTAAAATAACAATGTCAATGTAAAAGATTTTTGTCGCTGTGGCTATCAGCCGTTTAGCTCAGTGGCGTCAGACCGCGAATGCCGAAGATGTGGGATCGATTCCCACAGCGGCGACAATCTTTTCGTACTTTTTCTACATGTTTTAACAAACACCATAGTTCGTCCTCGCCTTCGAGCACGGCGACACCAACACAACGCGTACACAAGGTACACCCTCGTTCCAGGGCGGTTCTCACCGCCCCCAGCCACCGACTAAACAAGCACAGTCAACGGCCATCGGGGTCACGGTCCACACCGAACCTCGATGGCCCGTAGGCGACATGTCACAACTAACGCACTCATGTGTACATGCGCAGCCTACCCTCTGAGGAGGGCCTCAAACCCGTGGTTCTGGCTAGCCCACCTGTTCTGCGTTCAATGAACCTTTAATAGTCTAAGGACTGAAAGCGTTGTTTTTATATAACTGATGTTCAGTTGTATAAAAGAAATAGTGTGTATTTTTGTGGCCAGAATTCGAGAGTTTTCATAATGTGATAGAAGTTATGACTCGACTAGGTAGTGATACAAAAGCAAAATCGAACCGGATAAAAAAATTAAACAACTTTTTTTTTTTTAATTAAAACCTTTGGTATATTTATGTATTATAAGACTGATTAATAGTTTCAAACTCCACTAAAAAGGTATGCAATCTATGAAAATCAATTTCATGGTTCTTTGGAAGATACTCCTTATCTTTTAAAATCTTATTTCTTTTAAAATTTTTGTGAAATATGCTTGTATATATTTGATTGCTTTTGTAAAGTAAGCGCAAATATGCCCGTAAAGGTGCCTGAAGCTATAAAATGACACAAAAAATGTATTCACTCTCAAATCCATGACATTTTGTTTTAAATTTAACAATAATCGATCAACAAATTATTCTGTTATGGACTTTAATGAACAAATCTATATCTCCTAAATGATACATCGGCCTTACCATCTTGTTTGCCAATATAATTATTTTTTGATACAGTGAAAATTTTGTTTTTATTGTGTGAGGCTGACGTTGAAACGTGTTTTACCCTGCAGCGGATGAAACAGGTGTACAATAAATCGAAAATAAGCCACAAGATTTCGATAATGCTGACTATTGAGCCACCTAGGCATAGGCCGAATATACCTCCCAAGTTAGCTGAAATTAATAACATAATACTTAATGATCGCGAGATTTTTTGAGGTAAAAATTTGCAAGTGAGCAGCCTCCACTGATGTTAAGTGATTGGTGCCGACATCTACAACACTCATGGGTTGCAGGTGCGTTGTCAAGATTTGAAAGAGTGCCCTGGAGTTTATGCGTGTTCGCGGAATTTTTCCTCGTTTATGATGATTCTTTTTTTGCTGGAAAGGCGATATCCCAAGGGTGTTACCATGATAAGGAAACCCGGATCTGATGATGGCATCTCACAGAAATCGAGGGCAATCCTCAAATGCTATAGGTATTAACAATTTTTTTTAGTTTCCGGTCTGAAGTCGGTTTTTTTGTTAAGAATTATCTAATTGAAATAATGCCTTATGGTCAACATTTATGTTCCATTAAAAACATTATCAATGTGTTACAACATTATTATTATGTTTATTTACGGCGGAAGAGCCACGCAGCAGCCTCGGCTGTTGCATGAATGGGCAGGCTCGTCCGGGTAAGTATCACGACCTCACAGAAGACCGGCGTAAAGTGGAAGTATGATAAATACTTTCGCGTTTCGTCTGGTGAGTGAGGTAGCCGGAGCCCAATTTCCAAAAAGGTTGTCAACACATCTGAAAACCCTCGGGTGTAGCAGATAGACATCTGTCTATGGGTGGCGGTATTCACTTAACAATCGGTGAACCGTCTGCTCGTTTGGCAACTTTTCACATAAAAAAATATATATTACTACTAAACAAACTGACTCAAGTAGTACTACGAGTATACGCATGTAAGACTATATCATTCGTAAATTGATTTCGTCTTTTTTAATGGAGCGATTTGCCAGCAGACAGGGTGAAGAGCCTATGATGGACGACCTGGAGTCCAACGGCTTTAGGTGGCCCAGATACAGCTAGAAGGATGAAGTGGTAAAGGACCTACTAAACGCAGAAAACTGGGATGAGATCACGCAATATAGGGCGTTGGCGCCAACACGTATAGGCCAAGACCCACTTCGGTTTATTAGTTTTAGTTTAAATAATTTAGAACATACCCAACATTTGGTCCCAAGTGTAGAGAACTTCGCGCCTGTATTTCATGCAGCTGTTGTCTTCGAAATGAATTGTTATGCGGCTGTTTGATGGTCGCCTATTAAACATTTATTATATATTATTTACAGTGTACTTTAAAAGTCATATACAAATAATCTATAACTAGATGATCATACCCTGTTCGGTTATTTAGATTCAAATATTTAACTTCGGTCGAGTACTGTACGAGGTTACAATTTGGGTAGCATTCGTTGTCTGTGACGACGTCGCGGACGTTGCCTTGTACTTTTTCTACAAATAGTTACAAATAGTTTCATCTGTGTTAATGATATATTTATTTCTGTTGATAACATTGATTTCTATTGTCAAGCGACAATATTTATTTGATTGTATGTTACATTACTATAATATAATATAAAGTAATAATATAACTCCTATATCTTTGAAAATTATAATATACCTTACCCTTTGAAAATTGGAATCCCTGGAAAGTTCCGATATACTTCTACAACACCGGACGGGTTGCAAATGCAACAATTAAACATGAGCGCCGGTTACCTCACTCTTCAGAAAAAACGCGAGAGTTTTTAAATTCCACGTCACGTCGGATGGTCAGGTGATACTTCCCCGGATGTGTCTGTCCATTCAATAGGACCCTTTATACTTGTTGCCTTAGCTGTTATTCGCAGTTCTTTTAATTGAACCTTAATCCTCTTGAATATAACTTGGTATCGTTCTTTAGTATATCTAATCTAGTAGTAGAAGTATCTAGTTCTTAACAAAGTATAAACAATTCTTCCTTTAGTATCGAAGTCTTAAGGACCAACTGTCAAAGATGACCCACACTCCTATTCTTTAAAGAGCTAGGGAAATAAATTCAGACCTTAAGCGACTTTGAAGGTGGATCATTGTTTATTTATTGATTAATAAAGTCTTAATTGCATATCCTTAAATTCGGAAAACAGGTTGACTTAATGCCTCTAGGCATTCTCTGCCAGTCAACCTATGATGTGGTGAGATCTTTAGACAGATGGAATAATAAAACTAACTAAAATTAAAATTAGACAATAATAAAACCAAAGATTAACATAATTAATTTATACAAAAATATATAACAAACTATTTATAAATATAGACCTATACATACATACAAATATTATACTATTTATTGAATTTCTGAGCAACAAATGTTGCAAAATTTTAAATTCATGGCTGATTTTTTGAAGGATTCTCTATTTCGTAAACTACCATACTGATTAAAGTGGGCATCAACTTTACTTTATTTGCCTTTTAAGGGAGTGAAAACTGATATAATTTTTAGAAGTCAGCAAAATAGTACAACGATTGTGATGGAATAAATGAAATTGTATAATTTAAATACAATGTTCGTGGAATAGAAGTCTTACTTGTGTATTTTAAATGAAATACTATAAATTTTTACCATGTAAAATCTATTAAAAAACTCTTATCAATTCCTTTCCATCAAAAATTAACCAATCGTATCATGGCTTAATTTATCTTTGTGAAACTAAGACTGCATCTTCTTAAGATCAATATTTAGAATATGAATGGTCCAGGGCTCAAAGTGGTGACACCGTCGATGCACAAAATCTGATGTCCAGCTGTACCCAGATATAATTTGTATAAAACCGCATGAAGACATATAATAAGAATGCAGAAAACAAGCCAGACTCGAGCTTCTGGTGTTATCCATTTTCAGAAAACCTTTTTAATTTATATGTTGTAAATTATGATATCGTATGGTATACGGGAACAATAACGCATGCAAGCATTCTAAACCCATTGTATAGCTATTACACTTTTTCTAAAGAGACAAGGACTATAAATAATATCACAGTAGCACAAATATTATGACGATATAAGACAGAATGACATAAACTAATTCAAGTAACCCATGGTAACAGTTTTTGAACCAACTTAATCCATATAAAAAACCACTACACACTGGTTATTAGAGTATAGTACTAAATAAATAAGAGCCGTGATAGCTCAGTGTCCGGGCGCTCGCCTTTAATTCAATATATCGAGCAACCTGAGTTCAATCCCCGGTGTCGGCAACAATGTGCACAAATGTTAAAAATTTATCTTTAAGTGCGGACTTATCACGTGCTCCGCTTATCAAGGAAAACATCGTGAGGAAACCTGCATATTTTCGAAATAATTTGCATAATTTCGGAGTAAAGTGGAAGTATGACAAATACTTTCGCGTTTCGTCTGGTGAGTGAGGAGGCTGGAGCCCTATTTTCAAAAGGTTGTCAACGCATCTGTAACCTTCGGGTGTGGCAGATGTGGCCATGGGCGGCGGTATTCGCTTAACAATATATTATTTAAAAAATATATTTTCGAAGATATGTAAAGTCCGCCAATCCGCTTTGGGGCCGAGTGGTGGACTAAGCCCTTATACCCTCTGTATAGAGGAGGCCTTTTTCCAGCAGTGGGACATGTATAGGCTGTGACTTTACTTTACTTTTACTAAATAAATATTCAAAAAATTATCACTCAGCTAATCCTTACTAATATTATAAGTTTGTATGTATGGATGGATGTTTGTTACTCTTTCACGCAAATACCACTGAATGGATTCTAATGAAACTTTAAAATAATATTGCTTATACATCATAATAAGATATAGGCTATAATATATACATATTTTATGTATATCTGTCTTAATGTTACACCTTCAGCCTATTCTAGCCAGATATAGTAGCAGCTAGTAAGATATAGTTACACTTACAACACTAACTATTCCAGTTCATAACTCTTAGAAGGAAAAAGTGTTTACGTTTTATTGTGCTTGTTCAAACTCTAATAAAATATAATTATCTTAAAAGTTTATTAGCAAGTTATTTATATGTATGTGTACTTACTTCCAACTCATATACATTGCAGAAGAGTTGAAACTATGCGGATAAATATAAATAACTACCTAGTTACTTCGAAAACAAAATGATAAAAGGAACGGTCACTGTTGTGTTTCAATGAATAATATTTAAAAGAAAGGAGGGTTGCCGATTGCCAAGAAGGGCTGACGGGCGGGTCATAAAAAAACCAATTCAATATTATAAATAACATGTTGTGCCAACACCATGTATAAGGTTTATGGACAGGAGATGCAGAGAGTTTGAAAGGAATGTTTCATGATGAAAATGTTAAACGCATTTTGATTACATTAGTCTCACATATATCAATACATACATACCTAAAGCTTCGTACACGCAAGTGAGTTGGCTCCATGAACATGGAGATAAGTCATCTACGTTTAACTTCTTATCTGAAAATATTCACCATTAAATATTTAAAAGCTAAATGGAGAAGAACGTTATTACATTTTCAACCATTGACCAAATCATAAATGAAAGCAAAAGGGATGTATATTACTTGAAAATAGGCAAGCCTAATATTACCAGGAGCTTAATTCGGAGCGACTGTATCTCATTTGCATAATTGTTCGGAAATGTCTGGAACTAAAACATCTGAAACCAGATCCGTGTAGTAATTCTGTATTTTTTTTTAATGTGAAAAGTTGCCAAACGCGCAGACGGTTCACCTGATGGTGAGCGAATACCGCCGCCCATGGTCATCTGCTACACTCGAGGGTTCCAGATGCGTTGATAACGTTTTGAAAATTGGGCACCGGCCACCTCACTCACCAGACGAAACGCGAAAGTGTTTTACTTCCACTTTACGCCGGTCTTCTGCGAGGTCGTGGTATTGAGCCTGCCCATTCGTGCAACAGCCGAGGCTGCTGCGTGGCCCTACCACCGTCAGCCTCTTCACTGGCGGTAATTTGAAATGATCATATGAGTCCTAAAAGCTGATATATAGTGGTAAACTTACATTCGTATTTAAAGGGTAAGCAACGACAATGCTCTGAAACATTCTGCATCACTAGGTTCATCACGCAGTTCTGGTGTGAAGTTCCTTCGATACCTAAGTCCTAGAATAGTGATAGTTATTATATACACATATACAAATTTGCACACAATTCAATAAGTTTTCATTAACGTGTTGTTGATCTAACCGTAATTATATAACATCACAAATGCTATAAGTAAATAAAATTCACCGTTTCCAACTATGACGGAGGAGCTAGAGATTGGTAATGGCGTTTTAATAAGTTTATGTGGTCTACCTAATTAACTCAAATTTTAATTTCATTTTAAGTGTAGACTCTCGCTAAAATATCAGATCTCCTTCTTTTTCAGCCTGATTTCTAAATTTTAATAGCAAACTCAAAAACATTAAATTTAACTAAAAATATTAATTTGAAAATGTTTTTGTTGGAATACTATAAATTAGCCCAATTGATGACGCTAACTATTGCTAAAAATGCAAAAGAAATAATAGAAGGTTATAGTATGGTCGAGATTTTCACGTCAGGAGAACAGAGATAGAACCGTACGTGTTGATTTATGTACAGAAAAAATAATGTGTAAACGTGATAAAGATTTGCTTATATGTACCGTCTAAAACATTTTTTTCGAAGTAAAAAGATTGGAATATTTGTGTAAAGAAGTTGTAAAATATTCAGGAGCAACTTAAGAGATTGAAAAAAAATATCAATTATCCTTTGGTATCCTTTTATTAAGGATCAGGACAAATGACAATGATAACATAACTGAAGAGTATATGTCTGTTGTATTATTGTACACATATGTTAATGTATAATTTTATTCAATTGATTGCAAACCATTTTTTTTTTTCAAATTACCAACCGATGTTAGAAGAGGTTATAATATACCCATAAATAGTTAAATTTCAAAAGGAATTTAGACTTAATGACACTCACAGTTTTAAGAACGCACTTTCTGCTTGATAGGGACAGTTGGTTCACGTCCTTAGAAGATTCCATCACCCATACGTTGATTGTGACATCAAAATATGTATTCGAGGTGACAGTTATTGCGCTATCTAACAGTGTTATGTTATTTTCGCTGTTGAGGACGTATACCTAGAATTGAAATGATATGTGCTAGGGCCACGCAGCAGCCTCGGCTGTTGAACGAATGGGTAGGCTCATCCGGGTAAGTACTACGCGACCTCACAGAAGACCGGCGTAAAGTGGAAGTATAATACTTTCGTGTTTCGTCTGGTAAGTGAGGTAACCGGAGACCAATTTTCAAAAGGTTACCAATGCATCTGGAACCCTCGGGTGTAGCAGATGTCCATGGGCGGCGGTACACTTAACATCAGGTGAACCGTCTGCTCGCTTGGCAATTTTTAAACATAAAAAAAAACAAAAAACGATATGTTTGGGTGTCAGCTAACAATCCAGATCGGATTATACTCTGATGGGTTATTTGCAGTGTAAGAAGAATACTTTTCCCACCTCATTGGTTATTTTATTTATTTATTTATTTATACTTCATTGTTACACCTTAGGCTAATGGCTACAATGGGCGGACTTAATGCCTGATGGCATTCTCAACCAGTCAACCCTCGTCATGGTGAGAAGTAGATGGCAGGTGCTAAACCGAAAAGTGAATTTAAGAAATAAATAAATTTCCTTTAAACTTAATTAAATTAGGAGAATGTATACATAAAAATTATTATATATAAGTTTTTAGTATTTGTTGTTACATGTGCAACAGAAATACATCATCTGTGAAAATTTCTACTGTCTAACTAACACGGTTCACGAGCCTGGCGACAGACGAACGGACAAACAGACTGAGAGACAGCGAAGATTTAGTAATAGTATGGGTAAAACGGGACCCCCGTTTTACCCTTATGGTACCCTAAAAATATCGAATTGAGTGTTTTTAGAAGTTAAAACAGACAATGAGTTGGCGTGGAAATAAATTGAATGATTGTCACTGTCACATTGTCTTTTTAATAATTTTCAAAATTCTTGCGGTAACTTCCCTTTCAGACCCACTTTGAAGGATACGTACTAAGAGGTAACCTTTGCTGACATGATCGACTTCAGATAACTTTTTTGTATTCACTGTGATATCTAGAGCTTCATTTATTTCAGTCCCTGCCGCAAAATTCGTGTTATTTTCCGCTCGAGACCTGCAAATTGATTCTTAGATGCATTGAGATTATTCTATGTTTAGACAGATGTCAGTTTATTATTTCTCGCGTAGATAAATTTCTTTTTGACTTTAGTGTCATATACATCAATCCTTTCATTAGTTAGTAAAGAAAAAACTACTACTAAAACTAATACTAACTTTTAGGACCAGTCAAATACAAGGATAAAACTTTTGTTAATGGATAACTTTTAGATCCACGTATATCCCCACCGAGTCAATGTTGGTTGTTTTGCTTTTCATATTGTTATTTTCTTTTTTGAGAAACACCTAAAAGTAGGTGCTACGTGTAAGGAACGTTATTAAACGAAACTTACTAAAAAATTACCTGAAATAAGATATGTCGAACTGACAACAGTATCCGATGAAAGTGAACACCGAGCGAAACATTAGCGAACAATCGACAGATTTCGCTCTCCATATACACTGTTTCAGCAATTCTTCACATGGCTTTTTGAACTAGAAGTATGTTTTAATTAAATTATAGTTGATTACTTTAAGTAAAAGTACGGAAAGTGGGGTCTTTGCTATTTTTTGAGGATTTACTAGATATCAGATTTAATCATTATTTATAGCCATTTATCCATATGTCTATCCATTTATACATTTATCCAATAGACTGTTTCGTTTACGAAGCTGTTGTTAAAAAATAGCACCAAACTTTACTACATAACATAAAAAAAAAACAGATTTTACCAAATCTAATAACTTTTCATAGTTATAGCCCAGATTTTCCAGTATGCTGTGCATTTTTTTTATGTCGGCTTTTACCTCGTAACCTTTGCGCCTCACTTCACTTATGCTGCGGTAAAATTTTCCAATTTGATCATTTTGAAATCCACGAAGACGCCTAAAAGGAAATCTCACATGTTACTTGGATGGTTATTTACTGGTAAATTGGTTTTCTAAGACTTTCGTGACATGAATTATTTAAATATGATGGATAACATATTTAATTAAAGTGTTTGACTAACATTATTGGATGGTAATATCCAATTTCTATTGCCGTTGACACATAAAAAAATGTAACATACTTATAAAATATGAGTGTATTAATTAATTTGGAACTTACAGGACTTCAGTAATGTTATTCGTACTTGAACCATACACTACTTCGGTATCGCAAACACAGACAGCTGGAAATGCAACCTTTTCTGTTGGATAATGAGTTGTCTCTACCTGATTTATACAATAAAGTTCAATATTTGTTATTACTGACAATAGGTAGTAAACGAAACTGTTTTGAGAGATTTTATCACATGTAGTTTACACTTTTAATTCCCAACGACTTATATCTTTTTTAGTATATTTGTCCACCAGGTCGTGTGGCGCCCAGCACTGTAGTAACGGACTAATAGAATAGGACTTAGGTATTCCCTGAGTGTCGAAAAAAGGTGACTTAAAGATATTACGGGGTACTCGGACGGTTGAAATGGGGGATTTGATCCTCCAATTATTAAGCGGACCTGGCAGGGGCAGCAGCACGAAGATCACAAGACGATGAGGAAATCGGGGAAGGTGTTAGCACGTTCCGTATAAGAACACGGAGTCGTCCCAACTGAACAACTGATGTCAGAAGTGGGAATGGGTAATCATGCCAAGGAAACAAGAGAAGGTATCACTAACAACGTGGCTTTACTGCTAGCGGGTTAACAACGTCCGCTCAGCTTACAGGTACGAATAAGAGAGACTTACTTTTAAAGAGCAACAAGTACCCCACTGGAAGGAACAACTACGTAATTGTCAAGGAAAACAATCGTCCTGCCTTGCGAATTACGAAGGAGAAGATTCTACTTGATAGTATTGCTGAAAGAATAAATTATAATTAAGGAGATGGAAAATTTGGGACCAAGATACCGAAAGTCTTTCGAACCTTAGGTGCTCAGACCAAAGTGACGAGTACAGGGAAATCACGAGTGACGAAAATAAAACATTAAATAAAGTATCGGAAACAACTGCATAATTCTGTTTGTACGTATGTATTCTGCTATATACGGTATAATAATAGTTTTATGATACTTATCATTTTTAGTATCGATTTTAGAGCACTTTGCTTATACTGTATTAAATATACAGAATAATATTCTGTCAGTAGATTTTGTTTACTATGTCTCCGCCTAATATTTATACTTACCACGGTTAAAGTGGGGTCTATGATAAATTTCTCCCAAATCATGTGACACAGGAAACCGCACAGGCCTAAGCTTGATGCAATGGTAAGGGCCCAGAATATATGGACCCATTTATTAGAACTGCTGTTGAAGTAATATGCTCCATGGAGTGTACAATGTTTGCAATATTCTGAAAGTTTCTTGTGTAACGTGTGATTCAACTTGTTTCGCATTATCAGACTTTGATTTGCTTCGATGGTGCAAAAATGTGTGTGTTGTGTTCTGGATTGAATTATTTTTGAACTGAATAACTGATAAGTCTGACACGGACAAAGCCGAGCAATAGATAAAATAATTTAATGCGGCCATATTCATTAACGAGAACTTCATTGGTTAAATATTTTTAAAAAGTAAAGTTTTTAATGTCCTAAAAGTTTTGATGGGTTGAAATGTATTTGAAAAAATGTAATAATTATCAGTGTCGTGTAATGGGTGTAGCTTAGTAGTCGAAAGGTCGATTAACGATTTGAAATTGGCCTCATTCGATATAAATAACATAGTAAAACAGCAGATGCGTTGTCCACTTCATTAAAAAGTGTTTTAATAAAGTGTGCTCCGGCTACCTCACTCACCAGACGAACCGGAGAAGTATAACTTTCACTTCACTCCGGTCTTCTGTAAGGTCGTAGTACTCACCCGGGTGGACCTGCCCGTTCGTGCAACAGCGATAACACAGTGGCTACACCTTTTAGTATGCAGTTACCTTTAAATGCACCTTAAATACCGCAGAATAGTAAACAATCAAATGAAGCCATCCGCAGTAGAACAAAGGTGAAATGGGAAGGAGTTGATCAGTTGTATAATACTTAATTTTTTTTAAGAAAAAAAAAATGAAAAAGAAGAGGATACCTACGGAGTTTCTTTCGCTTGTTTCTTCTCCGTTAGAGGAACATCATAACGAAACGGTGGTAGATTAAGAAAATGACTATCGATAAATTAAATTTTTCTTATGTCGATGAATAAGTGATTGTGATTTTTTTTTGGTAACTGACATAGTTCAGGTTAGTAAGCGGATGTGGCGTTGGGCCGCCTATATAGCTCGTAGAACCGATAACCATTGGGGAAGAAAGGTTCTCGAGTGGCAGCCTCAGTGTGGGATGACCATCGCAGTGTGGGACGACCCCCAACAAGATTGAGTGTCGACCTGTGCATGATGAAGTGTACGGGCCGTCGATGGATGCAGGTGGCTCAGGATCGTGCTTCGTGGCAGTCTGTGGGGGAGGCCTATGTTCAGCAGTGGACTTAAACAGGCTGAAATGATGAATAAACAATCACCAAATATCTTCGTGCTGCTTAAAAATATTTATTGCACGAAAGGACAGTGTCAGATAGTTATATACACACACACACCAGAAAATATACCTTTAGTAATTTTTTAGGTCACACTTTATTTGTACAAATTACAAAAAGCCATAAAAATTAATTAGAAACAGAATCAAACTGTCGTTAAAACAGAAAGTTGGAATGGAACAAAAATTGAACAATATTTTAACGGTTTTCCCTTTATTCTTTCTCTGTCCTTAAATTACTTCTTGAGCACTTACGAAAACATCGTGCGACTTCGATAAGAGACGGAATTCGATTAAAATTAAGTAACAAAGTATAGTTACATACAAGATATTCAAGATATCAAGTTTGATTAATTTTTAAAATGAGCAAACTAGGACAAAGTAGTATAACATGGCTAATGCAAAACATAACGACAATACATGGGACGGTTAAATTTTCATTGTTCAATAGGAGAAAACTGAATATATGGAAAGGATTGATGATTTTCAACTTGATTTTAACTATTTCATTTCTGTTTGTGATCAAGAACAGATATAATAGTGATCAAATCATCACAAGGGTAAGCATGATTCTTTGATTATTACTAATTTAATATTAAATTCATTATTACCTAATGCTTATAAAGGCTAAACTCATTTAAAGGAGAAAATTATAAAGGTAACTTTACGAAAAATGCATGCTTTAGAATTACCTAAAATTTATGTACGAGTACATAAAACATCCTTTGCAGTGTTATCGTGTAGGAGCTATATTAAGATAAGGAGTTACATTAGAAAAAATATTCAAATTGCTAATTTAATCTACCATAAAAAGTACTTGTGACGCACACTAGGTCACAAGCAGTTAGCAGGTTAGCAATGCAGTCTACTAAATCTTACGGTGAAAGAGTTATATTAGGAAGAAAATTATTGAGAGCTATATTAAGAATGAATGAGTTTAGCATGTTCTGTGAAACAATTGATTATTGAATTAAAACATATTATTTATATTGGTAGGCACCTCTAAATTGAAAAATGGTGCTTGCTGTAAATCAAGTGGAAGACGCCGACGTGCATTAAATGAAGAGACTAGCATTAAACATAAATATTAAGTATATAGGCTGTTACTTTTTTTTAGATTGGCACCAACTGCCAACTCAACCAGGTACCGTTTCCAGCTGTTAGTATTTGTAACTTAAATATGGTTTCAAAGAGAGAAAGCATGTCTTCTATCTTTCAAATCCTGTAAGTACTGTTTACCATATTCTTTACATGAGGCACAAACTATAGTAAGGTATCAAAATCATAATGATTATGTAAAAATGAATTAAAAAATTTTCACCTGTTCCAGGATTTGACCTGCATCCTCGCACAGACGGAATGTCTTCACACTTTCTCTTAGTTATCAAAACGTTATAGGAAACACGCTAGATGGTGCCAAACATTGCTTTTAAAGTAAATTAAAGTAGATAAATACGTTAAGATTCGTTGGTGTAAATATCGTTAAGCTCAGTGGCTAGTGCGTCGTTCGCATAACCCAGAGGACGCAGGTTTAAATCCTCGCAGTGGCAAAAAACACTATAAAAATTTATATCATTCAAATAAAGATAATATTTTTTTCTATCTAATAAATTCAATTAAAACCATGCATTCTGTACATGCTATAAAGAAGTATAAGAAATACCTATAAGAGCTTTATAGCCAGTTATAAGAACTCTGAATGGGTTTTTTGAGGAAAGAAATGAAATAATTTAAAAAAATCCTACGTATTTTCATATATGTAGGTATTTCTATCCCAATTACAATATTACATTGATCTTAGATAAGATTTTATTCTAACTTTCTAGTGAGAACAATAATGTCACCAAAAATCAAATATGGAATTTTCTTCAGAACCTCCCCAATTTAAAGGATTACAGCGAGTCTGTAAGGAATGTGAGTGACTTGACTAAGATTTTATCAATTATGAAGAAACATTATTTTACAGTGGAATCTCTGATGGAGGAGGTAAGACAAATATTAATTATGTGAATGAAAAATAATATAATCATGTCACTTTTTGGATGTACGCTTACAGGTTCATCAGAAATGTGATAAGTTGCTTTTGTATTGCGAATTCAATAGAAAAGCCAAGAACTGCGGTGATATTTTTAAGCTTATAAAAACGTACGAAGGACATTGCTGTGCGTTTAATTATGCAGCGCTTAATGACGATAGTGAAACGTAAGTTCCAACTTTGAAATTAAAAAAAACCGGAAAAACCGACCAAGTGCGAGTCGGCCTCGTGCACAAAGGGTTCCGTACAATTATCTATAAAAACGGCAAAAATATCTTGCCTGTTGTATCGGAGTCCCACTTAAATATTTTTTTTATTTCGTTTTTTAGTATTTATTGTTATAGCAGCAACAGAAATACAAATCACGGTTTGTGAGATAGGTACAGCCCGGTGACAGACAGACAGATAGACAGTGGATTCGTAGTAATAGATTCCTGTTTTACCCTTTGGGTACAGAACATTAAAATCAGAAAACAATAATATGTAATCTTATGATTTATTGATATTTTACTGTTAAACTTTTAATGATTTTAAACTCTTAATCTCATCATTTCTAGCGCTGACCTTGCAAAAGACGATGACATTGAATATTTTGACGATCCAAGCGGAGAAGACGTGAAAACGAATGCGCGTATTTTAGTGAATTCTGAATCGGGCAGGTAATAGTAATCATATAAGTCAGTATTTTACGTTTTGAGAATTACTTGGATGTTTCATTATAAGAGGATAATTTAGGAAGGTAATTAGTATTTTGTTAAACAACAATATTCACTGGAACCCCAAACTACATTGACAACAATTATATATTGGATACTAACATTCGTTGTCTAAACTTTAGTTATTGCTAAAACCAACGTTTGAATTTAATTACAAATATGAAAAATAGGATGTTGGACTTGGATATTTATTAACGGTGGTAGGGCCACGCAGCAGCCTCGGCTGTTGCACGAATGGGCAGGCTCGACCGGGCAAGTACCACAACTTACAAATATATTATATGACTGAATAAAAAAAGGAAATCTTAAAAGTTAATAATTGATTTCTGTTTCAGAGGATCTGGCCTTAGCGTTATAATCAACGTAGAGCCCTTTGATTACCCAAACTGGTCATCTTTACCATATTTTGGTGCAAAGGTAAAATAAAACCCACTACCTTATATTAATTATATAAAAATAAATAAATAAAAATATATACGTTATATTTAATTTATGATAAAATACATACACAGTAATAAAACTTGTGTTTAACTATTAGGTGATTTACCTATTAAACATATATATTTTTCCCTTAATTTAGGATGATATTATCGTGTGTTGTGAAGACGTTTTACAAACATAAATTTTGCGTGGACAAACACCCAGATTGGAAAAACTATCTGTGGGTTACACAAACAGTTGTCCCGTGTGGGAATGGAACCTACGACCTTATTGTCTTTCACAGATTTTACTCAGCGATCCCAACGACTACCCAGAGACAACGGTTTTGTACAAGTTTGTGACCCTCGGTGAATCTTTGGACATAAAAGTGGAGCCAATGGTGTTTTTGTGTGAAAATAACATTCGCCAGGTTTCGCCAGACAAGCGAAACTGCTGGTTCCACGACGAGGTGTTACTTGAATACACCGACAGATACAGTTATGAGACGTGCAAGACAGAATGCAAAATGCAAAATTTTCTCCGGAATTGCGGGTGCGTCCCGTACAAATATCCTATCGGTAGGTACTTAGATTGAACATTTTTTTAGTCAACGAAACGATATGTTTATTTTGGCACATTAATAAAATCAGGATTTCTTTCAATTCGTTTATCATAATGTACAAATTTTACAGAGATATCAACACCAATTTGTGAGTTTGAAAATTTGGAATGCTTAAACAATGTAACTGGTAAGTTGTAAGCCATTGACATAAATTTTATAAATAGTATTACAACGAAACAATCTTTCAATGGTATTTAGTGATGCTTAGGCCATTTTAGCAAGAAATTTAGGGCAACAAAATGTTAAGAAATTTTCGTCTTTTATTTTCGTCTTGGTTGTTTTGTACTCGCAGTCTAGTTTCCCGTGCTTGTAAGTGCATCGGCATACACACTTCTCGCCTAAGAGGCGGTTAGAGACTAGCTTAGAGGTTTTATCCCGTTTATTTATCGCACTAGGGGACAGCACTAGCACTTCTAAAGAAGTGGTTAAGGTCATAAAGTTGGTGGGTGAGGCATAGCTTAGTTTACTCACTGCCTGAATCCCCAAGTCTGCGTCAATCATGGGTTTATTATTTGAGGAATTTTTACACGTCACATACACATATGGGAAACATAAGAGGATTTAGGGTAGAACGCGACAATTCCGATATAATAAAAATTAGTGCGGTATGAAGAGAGTCCCCACGTGCTTTAACAAATCTTTAAACAACGAGCAATTCTTGTATATATACATATTTATAAATATATCGGAATCTCGGAAACGGCTCTAGCGATTTTCACGAAATTTAGTGTGTGCGTAGAATTGGGGGCGAAAAATCGATCTAGATAGGTTTCATTTTTAGAAAATGTCCTTTTATCCATGTTTTCAGGGAATGAAAATATCATTCGAATACGACGGTAAATTTCGCCGAAAAAAAATGTTATTATAGCTTTGTCGGTAATCGGCCGCGGTCATTTACACACTTATTTTTTTACTTTTTATTCTATACTAGATTTGCTTTCCTTATTTTTTATTTTTTTTATTTCCAAAATATATGATTTCCCAAAAAAAAATCCTCCAGGTACTATAATTACATCGCGCAGTACTAATGTAATTTTAATAAATTTGCAAAACTAAGATTACTTTGAAAATTGAGAATAACACTGTTACATCAAAGTTACAAAATATCTACGATTGTTAGCTTTACTTTGTTTTATCGAGCTAAGAAGGGAGAAATATAAATACTTTTACCAAATCACCGTAGTTTCACTTTGAACAACAATAACACTGGTATAATTACTAATTTTATTATTTTAATATCACTAATGAAATACCACTCTAACGATTTAATTTGTGATACCTATTGGGCAGCACTCTCGCATATACTTATTGTTAACAGCCAGAGAAAGACGAAGACCATGAAATGCTTCGTGCAGCTTCATTTATAACTCATAGAATGACACGTATTTTAGTGTTGCCAACAACCTCAAGGAATGACATTGCTAACACGATAAAGAAAGATACGTTTTTCTAATGTCAGTAAAAACAACCTTTTTGCTTATCGTAAAAAAATTGTGTTGTCGTTAACATCGACTAATACATCCGATTAGTCGATGTTAACGACATCATTCAGATAAGAGATAGATTATGGGTTACGTGAAAATATAACGCATAACACACTAGTTTCTCAAAGGGTCGTAAACTGATTTCATTTCTGCGCCTAACAATCAGATAAAACTATTCGTGCTTGACTACAGCCTACAAGTCAGAAGAGGACAGAGCCTGCGATCCTGTGTGTTACATGGAATGCTGGGATAAAAGATATAGCATCACCAGTGACCTGACCCCATTGATACCAGAGCTATTTCCTGCAAATGTCACGTAAAAATCCTTTCCTTCATTATGAGTGTCGTATGCTACGTATTAATGCAAATAAACCCGAACTATTTTTGTTCAACGGGACACATAAGCGTTGTCTACTATAGTGTTTAATGGGTTATATTACAAATGACTATTTTTGTAATTCATTTAAAATTTAACTAAGCTATTGTGATTCACGCCCTTACATGTAACTGGTCGCCTGAATGTATACAGGGAATATAATCTAGACTATATTCTATGATGTCTACTAAGTCTGTCGTATATTGTTGAATCAATTTAACCGTGCCTTGTTAAAATACATACATACGAACTGCTTATGAAAGATAAAACTATTCTGGAACATATTAACAGCCTATAAATATCTCACTGCTGAGCTAAGGGCTAGGTTTCTAGGGTAAGGTCTACCACGCAGCCCAACGGATCAGCGTACTTCACATATTCGAAATATGTTTTTTGTTATTATTCAGGAAATATGCAAGTTTTATCACAGTGTTGTCCTTCACCGCTGAGCACGTGATAAGTAAGCACTTAAAATTAACAATTTCATTGGTGCCGGCACCGGGGCTCGAACTCATGTTCCTTGAGTTTATTGATTTAAAAGTGGATATTCCGGGATTGAGCTGTCATAGCTTACCTTTTCAAAACTTTACAGAAAAGATCACAACGCCGGTGATCTATGTGCATTGCAAGTGTATTTTGCAAAGTCATCCTGCAACAGCTACAAATTGATGCTCTTGATTGATTTTAACTATTTCATCGGTGAGTCGAATCGAAGCAAAATCTAATGTGATGTTCACATTTTTATATTAGTAAAAGGTGGCAACCTATCTGCAGCCCTGTGGGTGTTGCAAATGTCATGGAGCGGCCGGTGATCTCTTAATATCTAATGGACCGCAATCTCGCTTGGCACCTTCTCACATAAGAAAGGTCATTAATGTCTGTAGATGATTTTATTCTAGTAGCTTTAACGAAAATATTTATACAAATTTTATTACCATACATCAAAACCTGGTGGCACTGTAGGTGGCTCAGGATCGTACTTCGTGGCAGTCTTTTTTATGTGAACAATTGCCACGCGAGCAGACGGTTCACCTGATGGTAAGTGAATACCGCCGCCCATGGACATCTGCTACACCCGAAGGATGCGTTGACAACCTTTTGAAAATTGGGCTCCGGCTACCTCAGAAGGCGAAACGCGAAAGTATTATACACTTTACCTCGGTCTTTTGTGAGGTCGTGGTACTTACCCGGACGAGCCTCCCCATTCGTGCAACAGCCGAGGCTGCTGCACGAATGGACGGTGTAGGGCCACACTACCACCGTTGAGTCACAGTTGGGGGAGGCCTATGCTCAGTGATAAACGCCGCCCATTAGCATTTGCAGGACCCGCAGGGCTGCAGATGCATTGCCACCTTTCAATAAAGTAGTGGTAGGGCCACGCAGCAGCCTGTTGCACGAATGGGCAGGCTCATCCGGGTTAGTACCACGACCTCACAGTAGAACGGCGTGAAGTGGAAGTATAATACTTTCACGTTTCGTCTGGAAAGTGAGGTGGCCGGAGCACAATTTTCAAAAGGTTGTCAACGCATCTGCAACCCTCGCGAGTAGCAGATAGAACCCTACCACCTGAAAATTTGTATCAAATTAATGATGTTTAATTTATTTTCAGCAACCTACGGAGGTATATTTTCATTAAGCTTCGGTGCGTCAATATTAACAATATGCGAATTGTTTTTTCTAATAGCATTCTACTTTATTAAAATAATACGCAAAAATATGATGAAATAAGAATGATAATTATATGTAATCTTTTTTCAATAAATATAAGTAGACCAAAGTACCGTCTGTTCTTTTTTTTATTTCTTAGTCCTTACTAATGTCATAAAGGCGAAATTTTTATGAATAGATGTATGTTTGTTACTCTTTCACGTAAGTACTCCTGAATGGATTTTGATGAAACTTTACAATAACATAGCTTATAAATCAAAATAACACATAGACTATAATTTATATACATATTTTATGTATTACGCTTTCAGTCCACTCTACGTAGACGTAGTCGCGGGCAGCAGCTAGTGTTTTATATGAAGCGTATTACGGCTTCCAAGATACATTGTAGTCTATATTCTCGTATTGTAATTTACCTTTGTTATTATAAATGTTCTGTATTAAACATGTAGAAAAAGTACGAAAAGATTGTCGCCGCTGTGGCGTTTGTATGCTGGAAAGGATATAACAATAGATGCGCCAAGCATTGCTTCAAATGCTAAATAACAATGTAGAAAGAAGGCGTTAAGATTTTCATCGCTGTGGTTATCAGCCGTTTAGCTCAGTGGCTAGAGCGTCAGTCCGCGAATGCCGAAGACGTGGGTTCGATTCCCACAGCGGCGACAATCTTTTCGTACTTTTTCTACATGTTTTAATGTTTAATCTTAAGTGCAGAGATTAGAACTAAAAAATACTTTAAAATTAATGTTCTGTATTGTTTAATAACAAATTTTTAGTAGTAGTATACAGAATTAAATAAATTTTATTAAAAAATGTAAGTAATGTTCAGTGGTTGGATTTGTTTGTTATAAAGACAAATATATCTTAGTTAATATAGCGGTAGCTTTTCTCCGTTATGACCGAGCTACGGTCAAAATAATTGATTAATATAACATAAGTGAAGCAATTTTATCCTAAAAATTATCATATTGAGATAATTTTTGTGATATTTGAAAGGCTCGTTAATTGAGCGTAAAGAAAATGAATTTAACATTTTTCGCGACTTTCTTTTAGGCCGAATAAATGAATAAATAGCGTAGGCGTCCCCAATTCAAGAAATAGGCTTTTATTGACTGATATAAGTGTCGGGGGGATCTTCGAATATATCCCGTCGTTTAAAGAAGAGGCAGGGTTAAGTTGGGAGATATAAAATACGAAATCTAATTGGAACGGAATCAGAAACGAAAGCGGAAACGAAATTTTAAATTCTATGAAAATATATCATTTTTATTTATTTAATAATGAATATTGAAAGTTAAATAGCGGTAAGTTATATTTTGCGAAATATAATTTAGGCCGCTTCTCAGCAACCTTCTCAGGGTGTTGTTCCTAAATTAGACCTTAAACCACCACGCTCACGCTTTACTCCATAATAATGTGAGTGTTTTATTATTTGTTATAAAAGCTGATGAAACTAAGAAAAACAGAAACAATACTGTGCAAAAATTCCACAATTGCGGAATCTGGCTACGGTTGCTACCTACAACTATTAATATCGCCACTTAAAACTGTGTTTTTGTGTTCAACAAAGTCTCATTTAAATCAATAATTTATATTCAGTTATATGGTGTAAATAGACAATATTGAGTATTTTACAAAAAATTACGGTGCCAAAATATACGATATCTACTTTCTTCTGTAATTTTAGAGTTAAAAGCGTTTACTCATTTAATTGTAATTACGTTTACCTGTATGGATTTCGTTTCGTTTAAGGCGAAAAAAAATGTGTCTATTCATCGACAAATTTCAGGGAAATCTTCTTTGAAAATATAAAACTAATATGGTTCTTCAAATTATTTAACTAAAAACATCGTTACTGCTGTTGCATCATGACTGACGAATTAAGTGGATTTCTCCTAGATGGCGCTTAAAATAAAAGATGCCTTAACGTGTACTGTTAGAATGTATCGAAACAGCAATTGTCCATTATACAGTAATTTAAAATATTCTCGTTTTCTTTAAAAATGTTATCATCCCATTTCTTACGTATTAAGTAAGCATAATTTGAAAATTATTTTACTAACGACTTATTTTTGTGGTGAGTGAGTACTTACTAGTTACTAATGCAATTTTTATGCCTAGTTTGTGTTCATCTTGCGACCTAAAAGTGGGTGCCGAAAATTTTTCATGATGTTATTACAAACACAAACGCCATCTAGTTTTACAAGTGTAAATCACTTTGTTGCCAGCGCATAGAAGCGCCAACTGCTAAAGGCGCCTTACTCGACTCATGGTCCTCTAGTTAACCCAAGAAACCGTTAGGCACCGCTTTATTTAATTTTTTTTAACTATCTATGTAGTGTAGGTGAAGCGAATTTTAAATTTCTCATTTGTGTTAAGAACATCGTTTATGGAGAGTAATTAAAGTAAGTTTAACAACTATTTGGTATTTACATCAGAGCTGAAATTATTTAAAATTTGAAGTTCGTTATATCGCCACTATTATATGTATACAAGCCTGCCATGCTGTTAGACAGTATCACCCCTTATGGTCTAATTAAATTAATCCCATCTGCAAATATTACGTTTTCGTAAAAAACATGTTTAAATAAAGTATTAAAATATACTTAAAACTGCATGCAGAAAATTCTGTTAAAATATTTCGCCCTAAAATTTTCGAAGATATGCGTAGTCCGCCAATCCGCAATGGGGTCGCGTGGTGGATGGACTACAGGACTATGCCTTCTGTATCAACCATGGCAAGTGCTATAGTTCTACCATCACACTCTTCTGTTCAGCCTACTCCATTGGAGTTAAAGAACACGATAAGTTGTAATTATGGGTAACAAGTAATTTTTTTATTAACGAAGAACAAAACCGAGTTCAAATATCTCGCTCTGTTTACATTTTATAATTGATTTTCAGGAGTTCCCTCCATATCTCCCCGGGGCCCAAGATCCAATACCAATGAAATTAATACGGGACCACATGGGAAGCACAAGCTTTCAAATAAAAAACGAATCATCAAAATCGGAAGTTCGAAAGTTCTAAGGTAACAAACGTAAAAAAATACAGTCGAATTGAGAACCTCTCCTCCTTTTTTGAAATCGGTTGAATTGCTTGGGCAGGGAAACCCTTCCGATTACATTAGCATGTTTCGTCGTGGCAAATAAATCACGCGTAGACTCTTCACGTCCCGGCTACTATGGTCCGCGGGTGTTTTCAATATTAAAATTTCAAGCCGATAGTCGGAGGCTCGAATAACTTCGGCTGATTTATTTTTCAGACGCACGAATTTATCCGACCCCTATTTTTGAAGGTAGTTTCCAATGTATACCCTTCTTATGCGATTGGGAGTATGGTGTGCAATAAGCAAATGTGATCTTATTCTTATTTGAAACTAGCGGTGGCCGCGGCTTCGCCCGCGTGGAATTTAAAATAAATAAAATTAGCCTAAGTTACTCCTTATTACATCAGCTATCTGCCAGTGAAAGTCCAGTCAAAATCAGTCCAGCCCTTTTCAGAAATTAGCCCGAACAAACACACAGACAGACAAAAATTTTAAAAATGTTATATTGGTATATTTGTATGTACCGTGTATACATCCATATGGATTTAGTACATAGCGATTATTTTAATATTACAAACTTCAGACACTTCAATTTAATTTACCTGTATTTTTTTTATTATTATCTGTATACATTATGGGCACGCTTTTAGTACGTTTTGTGACCACTATTGCTTACGTATTTTAACCATTACTAATTATTTTCAATGTATTAAGTAAGTAATATATAAATAATAAATAAATACATAGGTATCTATTTTATGACATACATTACTCAAGAGAAGTAAGAACCGTAGGTGAAATGCCAGTACAAAATATGACTTTTATAGCCAGGTTAAGCGTTATATGTAGTCTACAATCATCTTTTAGAAACTCGAAAGTTTCATTACAAATGATGTAGTTTATTTTACGGGTATTTTGACTCATATAGCTCACAAATGCATACTATGAGAACAAACTTCAGCGAAACTTTTAGATAAATATATGACTATGAAGTTTGGTTTTGGTCTCGAAGAATAGAATAAAAACCCTAAGCTATGTAAATACCTGAAAGTATAAGGGTGTAAAGACCTTATTCAAAGTTAAATCTGGCTATCCCATGAGCTCTGCCTTCGAAGAAGCTTTGGTAGTCTACCGACTGAAAGCAAAAATCTCAGAAAAAACACAAACACTGTTTCGTTGCCCTTCCACAGTTTTTCGTTAGAATTATCGTTGTAAAATGATATTTAGTTTTTTGTTTAATTGTTTCTCTGTATAAAGGACATAACAATACATGCGCCAAGCATTTTTGAAAAAGAGCAACTGTTGAGTTTCTTGCCGGTCTCTTCTCAATAGAAACTGCTTTCCGAACCGGTTGTACCTTACGAACCTATATACATAATCTTTGATGTAAAATTTGGCGATTCATAAGAGCGCGCTAGCGTCTATTTGAATAAATATATTTTTGATTTTGATTTTGATTACTTGAAATGCGGAAAAATAATATAGATACAATACGTTGAAACTTTCGTAGTTCGATTTTGGCGGTTTCGAGTGTGGTTCTGCCGTTCAGTTCAACTTAGTGGTTAAAGCGTCTAGCGCAAATCCGTAACACCATTTGGGTTTTATTCTCGAAGCGAAAATAAAACCCAAATGGTGTTGCAAAAATGCTTTCTACAAGTTTTAAACTAAACTCCTAGGTGTCGTACCACGGGGCAAAAACCATCGTCCAACTTATCTTTAATGATTTGTTCAATTAATGGTCATTTTAATGGATTCGCACGCGCGTTATGGATAATTCTAACAAATTAGGATTTCAAAGTTTACACGCGAAAAGTGTTTGAATAATTAAATCAGAGACTATTCTAAGGAAAAATTGATAGCTCTCTGAGGCCAATTCCGATATTGGACGCGTGACTCGTTTGCAGAATGGGCGCCGAAAGCCGACATTTTATTTGATACCATTTTTTGTCGCTTAGAATTCTCCCATGCTGAAGCGTTTTATAGGGCTGTGGCCAATGGCAAAAGGGAAAGTCTATACGCTGGCGGTGTAAGTAAAATTTGGAATAATACCGTAACATTCCTTGTATTTTTACCCGATAATATCATCTTATCCTATATTTTAATAGAATTCATCTTTCATCTAATTTTTGATTAGCTGTGGCAGACCTACAAGTGAGGAATTACTGAGGTATTTCACACATAAGAAAGATTTTGAAGTTTTCAGATGCTATGTACTAGTAATAATCAGTGACATTTTTTTTTATATTAAGAAAGTTTGTATGTATGGATGGATGCTTGTTACTCTTTCACGCTAATACTACTGAATGGATTTTAATGAAACTTTACCATAACATAGCTTATATATTAGAATAAAACATAGGCTATAATTTATATACAAATTTTTATGTATGTATGTCTTTCTGTTTGAATTTTACGCCATCAGCCTATTCTACACAGACATAGTCGCGGGCAGCAGCTAGTATTTTATACAGCGTGTTGTTACCATCGCGACAATAAATGAACACACATATAGGGGATAGCTTTTTAAAGTTGTATTAAAGATATACATTCTTTAAACATCAATATTTACAGAGTCATAAAATTTTCCGAAACAAAGAATTTTAGAACACCCTTACGTATAAAACTGTAACGTAAAGTTCATTTGTAAAGGTCACAAAACATATGAATGGGTTGAATGAATTTAAAAGAGACAAAACGTACTGTTAGAAAGAGAGGCTTGTAATACGACGCTGTGGCGCGAGTTGTATAGGTGTTACAAATTTTGTTTCTTTTTTACTTAATTAGTTTGTTTGAAAAATATTTTTTTTAATTATGGATTTTGTTTAACGTTAATATTTTTTTATGATATTGGCAAGTAGCGTTAGACGTGTGTTCATTTATTGTCGCGATGGTAACGACACGCTGTATAGTAATGTATCCAATTATTGTACAGATGGATAAATCAATAATATGTTAAGCCATAAATAATTAGGTACTAATATTTATTTTTAAAGTAATTAAAATACTTTTTATTTAAGGGTCATATGCGTCATTGTTGATTACTTACGTATTTTTATATATTTTGACTTTATTGATTGAATATTTTGAAACAATTTATTAACGAAATATCGAATTACTTTATAGCTAATTCGTTAACAAATTAAACATACAACAATTGTTTTTAATAATATTGTAACCAGTGAGCTTATCATAGGTTAGGTTTAACAACAGTAAGTGGACACTATTCTTCACCTTTCGTAGTCTAGTTGTACTAGTATAACTATTACAATACATGGTCTGAGTACGCAACTGCAATCTCAATATATAAAATTCTTGTGTCCACAGTTTTAGTGTGCATACTCCTCTGAAACAACTTGACCGATTTTGATGAACTTTTATATTTATAATCAGTACGTGTGAGAAAAGGTTTACAACTAATTTTTATACCCCTAAGTGATAAGGGTGGTCCACCCCAGACGTTTTTTTCTACCCTACAAATAATGTATATGACAAAACAATGTTTACTGGGTCAGCTAGTAATGAAACAAAAACTGTGCCTCCACTTCACATTTCCTTCACACTTTTCTGAACTATTACCCTCTACAAAATCCTTATGGATCTGACAGTTCAATATGGCATTGTTTCTGAAGATGTAGAGAAATAGGTCAAGAAAATATTCTCTGTGAAATAAATACAAACGCAAAGCCATTTCTATGAGATCTGCCTTGGTTGTGGGCTTTATAAGAATTATGTTTGTTTAAACGTTTTAAGCTAACTTCAAATCTATAAATGAAAAAGTTGAGTCACGAAATTAAATTATATATATCGATATAATAAAAGATATAGATTTCTTTATTTTACACGAATTTTATACAATGTGCAATGAAACTATTTAACGGATGTTATCGCGTTTAATTATATTTTTAAATTCCCCACGTTTGAAAGTCTTTCCAGAATTCATGGTCAAGGTATGTCTACATAGTATAAAACAAAGTCGTCCCGCTGTCTGTCTGTCCTTATGTATGCTTAGATCTTAAAACTACACAACGGATCTTGATGCGGTTTTTTTTACTAGATACAGTGATTCAAGAGGAAGGTTTATATGTGTAATACATAACAACCGAGCGAAGCCGGAGCGGATCGCTAGTGGCTTATAAGCCCCGCGCCGTCACGGTAAAGTTTTTCGCTGTGTCATTTTTGCGACAGTAATGCTTCCGTGTTTATTTGCGTTCACTGGTTAAGCGTCAGTTTGCTGGATGAAGAATACCAGCAAAAATATTAAAGTAGCAATGGCCAAAGTGTCTAGCAAACCAGTACTATGATCTCTCCCTCGCACTCAAGCAACGTGACCGTGCTCCCGAAATCCTGACCTTCTATATCTATGTAAACCCGGACGGAGGAGTGCTTTTCTGCAAAGATCCTTTGCATCATCAGATTCGCCTCGCTCTCAGGCTGCCATGAAAATTGCCTGAACATATATATTTACCGCAAAAACATGGTTCGTAATTTTTACCCGCGTCGCCATGGAGTACAGAAAAATGTTGATAGCGATTCAAGTTTAAATGCATCGCTGCTTGTTTTAAAATTTGAATTTAACGTTGAGCTAGTGTTTATGAAGTGTGTTTCTATTTAGGAAATAACGGCAATCGCGTTTGAAGGACACGCAATGAGATTAAATAATCACTTAGAATTAAAATAACGAAATAAACTTGAAAAGTAAGCAATAAAGATAAGTACGGAGACGCTATCTGTAAACAGTGAACATTATTAGAGAGCATAAATGCCGCGTAATAAACATGTACTAGATTTTTATGCCGGCGCAATAAAATTCTGGGGTGTTTGAAGTCGCGAAAAGCGGGGAAGTTAGCGAATAAAAACGCGGGTGGTTATTCTGTGCGAGGCTTTTGAACGTAAGCTGAAACCACCGAATAATTTGGAAACTGCCGACTTTTAATGCTCAGTGCAAGTTTAGTGTGTAATATGTTAATAAGTGACAGGTAGTTATCTGTTTAATGTAACATTCATTTCCCAAGTTCATATTATGCATGTTCAGTAAGAATTACATTAATCAAGTGCTGCAATCCATTTGTTTGTTGAGTAAACAATGTTTCTTGTGATCGAGTAGTAATAATTATTTATAAACCCCCTATTAAAAAAAAAGTTTAAAACACATTTTACAAAAATATAAATAGGTGGATTTTTACCCTTTAATTACCGAAATACTTAGTGCTATTGAATTGTCATCTATCAAAAATACTGTGATGAATGATCCGATTATTAAACAACCCAGTTACAGTTATAATACAAGCCATTATATAACTCTCATACAAGATTAACGCCATGTGTCGTCCAAATAGAAAATAGTTTTTTGGAATGCTTTAAAAATAATTATCATACCTGTTTCATTGCAAATTTCCTTATACCGACCTACATTCTATTAGAAGTTCTCCCTAAAACAAAGCTGATCTTTAAGAGATTTGTACACAGGCTTTTCTCGTGAAGCTGTTTTAAAGGTGTATTTAATATATAATTATATTAATAGGTGAACCAAACACTGGATCTCTATTTACGAAGGTTGCGCGGACGGAGGATGAGGACACTTACAGTTTATATAGAGAAGGAGTGCAGAATGATAATATATATATTTTTAAATACGCATAAAAATTACATTAAATCAATAACAAAAAACATTACACACATAACCATGTATAATTAATAAGTAAGGTCGAATTTCGACCATAGAGCCACCGCTAGTACCGCTAAAAGTTCGTGTCCGCTGAAATCAATTTATCGTCTTCGTGATTGTATCGCATGCTAATTAAAAGGCACGCACGCATTGGTTCACCTTACCTTCATCGGCTGCCAATGCAATTGACAACGAGCTTAGATCGAAACGTTCAGGATACGCGTCAGGTTCCGTGCAAAAGGGAGAGGGGATCGTTGTATTCGGTCGGAATTTCAATGTCCTTTATCTGGTAGGAAGTGAGCCATAAACATCGTCATAAATTGTCGTTGCTCGCGAAAGTGTCCCGCGTTACGCTTTTCTTTATTTTGAATTCCTGAATGGGCATTCATACTGCGATATAGGGTATAACAATGAACGAACGCTTTTAGCCGCTTTACTCATTGTTGTTATGAATACCACATACATTGATCAACTTAACTCCTTATCATTCATGAATGAGTAATTGTAATTTAGTAAGTAAATTAAGTTTAATGTACGTTTTTTAATAGTTAGTTTAGTTAGTTAAGAAGTACTTTCACGCTTAAGTGTAAGTGTATTTTAGTGCCCTTTATTTATATCGGGCGGACAGGGGGAACTGACGTTATTCATTTTTAGGGTTCCGTACCCAGAGGGTAAAACGGGACCCTATTACTAAGACTCCGCTGTCCAATCTGTCACCAGTATTTGAACCGTGTTAGTTAGACAGTTGAAATTTTCACCGATGATGTATTTCCGTCGCGTTATGTAATTATATGCTAAGGCAGCAACAAGTGCTTTCACTTTTGAAAACACAATTATGTTTCGATGATTTTTCATATTTTTTTTTCATCAGTACACCTCAAGTAACTTTCACGCTGAGGCTGAGGTTTATCCTCTACTACAGGGAGAGTACACACACGGTCTGTTACTTCATACCAATGCAACTGGAATGTTCGGCGGCCGCGGCGCCGCCGTCAAGCGCGACCCCATTCCGCCCGGATTGGCAGCGGAGCAGAGCGTGCCGCAACCGGCTCGGGGGTGCAACGCGCGTAAAAATACGTTGAAAGCATTTAAAAGCGCCCGCGGAAGTTTTTGAAGCGGCTCACCGTTTGCGCCCTTTTGAATTTCGAACTTTACCGCGGCTGCAATTCGAAACTGGTCTGAGCTTTACGAAAATAAATAATGTATATTGAACACGTGCTCACGAGAGGAATTGAGTGACGACTTCGTTGTTTAGTTCACAGACGTGACAGTCGCTGGCGCTCCGGACGTGTGAACGTCGCACAAAATAATGAGAGCTTAAAATGGTCGTAGAAATGTGGGAGACTCGGGTAGACTGACTTCAACGGGTTAAATCTTGGGACTTACTCCGTACATACCTCATGCTCGCCACAAATTCTTGATCTATTAAGATATCCACAATAGAATAGTCGGAGAATTTATATTCATACAATACTATGTGCGTCGGCATAAAGTTTTTTTTAAAAAAAACTTTAGTTGATCGCTTACAATTTTCAGCCATTACCTCGTCCAGTCCAATTATTCCCGAACACGTTCACTTCATTGGAAATTCAACGAATGATATTCGGAGATTTGTTTGCTACGTTGGATGTAAATTTAACGCAATCAAAAGCAAACAGGTAACTGTTCTAGGCTTTTGGTTTTATATTATTTTCGATTCTTGTCTATTTATTACCATCGATGGCACAGTATGCCCGAGCGCTTTACATCATATGATGATACCAAAAATTGGACTGATTCGTGGATATACTCAAAAAGAGAAAAAGTTCTTCAGACTTGGTATTTTAATGCTCCCAGAAAATAAAAAATAAATAAAATTAATATGTACTTCTGACGTATTTATGTTAAAAACGGCAGAAAGTTATTTGTACTATTATATAAAAAAAAATATATCGGAATAGTTACATTCAGTTCGGTCGGCTGGTTCACGGAATAATCGAGCAAAACTTAATGTCACATTTAATCCACGGAGAGGCACGGATTAACGGTAAACTTTGGAAAACGCGAGTAGCGTTGGCCCGAGCTGCATGGAAGTATTTGGAGGAGGCCTTTGTCGAGAGATATGCTGCTACAGATAAATAAACTGATTACCGATATATCGTAGAGACTACAATTAGATGTAACAATAATGATTAGCATAAGGTTGTAAGGAGTCACAGTTATAACGGCTTATTTATTTTTATTAATAGATCTGCATAAGCTGTGATATTCTCTAGAACATTGACCCTAAGCTAACAATAACTTGGAGCGCCATTAAGAAAAAAAAAGATAAGTAAAGGAAAATGTTATTTACTGAAATGTTTACTTGATCTTTCCAAAATTATTCGGTTCTAATAAAATCATACAAAATTCCATTTGAGTGTAATCAATAGGAGGGTTACAGTGGAATACACTCACTTGTTCTATTGAATTGCGTAAAAGAAATGGCTTCTCCGATAATTTTCGCCCTTTTAAATAAAGCCGATAGTTTTAGTGAAAGTACGCAAGATTCTGCTTTATAATTTCCGAAGCTGATCCAATAAGTCAGTCTAATTTTAAGAGAAGTCTAACCTGTGTGTTCAAAAGTTGGAAAGTCGTTAGATTCACTTGCATAATTACTGGCTGCATATTTGACATTGCATTGCATATATGACTCCGTGGCGCAGTTGCCAAGGTATTGGCTCCGGCATCAGGGGCCGTGGGTTCAATCCCCACACGGGACAACTGTTTGTGTGACCCACAGATAGTTATTTCGCATCTGGGTGTTTATCCGCGTGTAATTTTTTTGTAAAACGTCCTTACAACACAGGATATTGTTATCCTAAAGTAATGGCAATGTTTTTTGAAAAAAAAAAACAATAGTAAAATTCCAGTTCGTTATGAATTGGACGATTTGACATCAAACAGGCTCACTTTTTTATGTCTCTATTTATTTTAATTTTCGCAATATTATTTCATATTTGTGTAATTTCATTATTTATAAGTTTATTATGTTTTTATTGTGGTTACACCGTGAATAAATGTGTTTCTTTCTTTCTTTCTTCTTTCTTAATTCTTCAACAGTGGTGTTTATACTGCATCAATGGTCTCATTAGATGATAATATAGGCGCTAGTAATCTTTATCAATTGCAGTGAAATCCTGATAAGGAATAAAAAAGACACGTTTCTATTTAGAGTTGACACTACCTCATCCTAAGCTATTTGTATGTGAAAATACGAATCTAAAACGATTTTATCTACAATGAAAGTATAAATTCGTCGCAACGATTCCCCACCCCGCAAACTGCGTAGATGGGACAGAAGTATTTTGCGCTTTCGCCACAAAGTTAAAAACTCGTTATTCGAGGGCGAAAAGTTAACGCGCGCCTCCATTGTAAGTGCCGTGGGTTTATCGCGACCCACGGTGTGACGAGGGCCCCGCCGTACTTAACGGAAGACCCGGCTTAATTGAAAGATCGTTCGCCGCTGTTCCCTTTGGAAGTAGAAAAAATCTTTTGAGGCGTCGTTAACGTATGAAGCGGTTGATTTTCACAGTAAGTATAGTGTTTTGTGACCTTGGCAATGTTGATATTTGTAATGATGTGGAACTATCGTGCAACGTTGATTCATTTAAGAAACAAAAAGCAACTGACAAAAGTGTTAAAAGGACGAAGCACCGTCCCGTTTCCATAGCTCCAACATCAAATTGAGTTCAGAAATATTTGAGGTACTTAATTGAGTTTTTTCAGCCAGGTGCAATATTATTGGCCGTATTGCTGATTGGCAAGTTTTTTGGCGGTTTTTCTTTTAAGATAAGTTAGTTGTCAGTTATTGAACAGTTGCCAAGTTAGGCCGTGGTACTTCACCGATCGTAAAAGGAGCAAAAATAAAAATAGAAAAAAAAATCTTTATGAAGAAGTTTTTAAAATTATTCATTTCAGATTTTGCCATTTGCAGTTTAAGAAACTATCCAATTAAGCCGCCAAAGGTAAAGACAGAAAAATATCTCTAAAGTTTACTTTATTCACGCGAATAAAACAGCTAGAAACATATGCGAAGAGCGGGCTTTCTCATATATAAATAGCTAATACAGTTGAGGGGATCCTATTCTGAGGTTACCCGTAGAGCCTCCAGAATAACAGATAAAAATACACTATGTGTAGTCAAATACACTATTAACCTTAAATAATGTCTTTGAACTGGTTAAAACATCTAATTTGTTGAAAGTACAAATCCTTACAAGAATATCGTTAATTTAAAATTATTAAAATTATCAACCGATCATGAATATAAAACCTAATAAATAACACTTTTTCCTTTTTCTCAATAATACCCGATAGTGCAGGCCAAATAAACTTTTTATATAGTCAACCTTTGAGAGATCCGGTAAACTAATTCAATTCGATTTTGTGATTTTACGCGAATGTTCTACATATTAAATAAAACTAATTTACAGGTTTTATCGCGGTTTAATTTTGAATTTTCATACCCAACGTTCAAACCCATTCCAGTGTTAATATTACCGGACTGGGTATGTGTAATAAACCCTTATACTTCCACATTACGCAGGTACAGGTCACCAGACGAGCCTGTCAGCTTATGCAACAAAAGCTGCTGTGTGGCATTACTGCATTAAACATTAAATGAAAAAAATTAATTCATACAGATGATCAAAGAAGTAGCAATCAAAATGTATAACATATAGTACGAATTAATAATAGAAGAGGGCAAAACGAAACGCCGTCGAAGTGCCTTCCAAAACTGAATCCAATTCCTACTTCACATTGTTACATCGATCCAGAATAAGGTACCGCTCCGACCCTCCCAGATATATTTTATGGAGAGTGCGCAACGCTCTTTTTGCAATAGCTAGCAGAAGGTGCGGCCCAACCCTTCATATTTACGATTAAGTCGTGATCAGAAATATAATACATATGTGTGTTTTTTCTCGATAGGCGTCTGATATGCGATATCCTGCAGATACGCTCCTTCAAAGTTGAGCTCAATTTTCATTCGTGAAATAAAACTGAGAAAATGGTATAAGGGAATATAGGTTTATGTAAAAGTTATTTCCACTCGATGTCGCAGGGCTTTATGTAAATACAAGAGCATATACACAGGCACACTTATACATCTTTAGTAAGAGCTTTTAGATTGGTATCGTCTAGGTTTTATAACAAGTCAACTCTTCTTGAGAACAAACACCTAGATCAGAAACAACTGTCTGTGGATCACAATTGAAACTTAGTCTCCAGGCGCTAAAGCCAATACTTTATCTACTACGCCACTGAGTCAAAAATACTGCATTATAGGTATATAATCAAAACTGGTGCATTGTATACGATTGACCCCATACTGTAAACGTTTTTATTGAAATAGTTAAACATTCTACATCATCGCATTAAAAGTTAGTGCACTTGAAGTCACGATACGGCGTGACTTATTAATGCTTGTGGCACTTAGAAGTTCTTACTTCTCCGGACCGCGATATTTTAAAGAAACGAATTCCTTCGATTGCTCCTTTTGAGAGTTATGCGCCCGTAAATTTAGTTTTCACTTATCAAAAACCGTTGAAAGACATATTAAAAAAGAACTGAAGAAGAAAGTGAAGAACGAAAGAACGAGGAGAGGCATAGTTTCTGATCACATTTGAATTCTTTACATTTATTTTGCCCATGACTTACATTTTGTCAAGTAATAAAAGCTATTAAATTTCAAATTTAGGTTTTGATGAAAAAAAATTTAAGACTGAAAAAAAAAAGAAGAATAAGTAAAAAGAAAGAAGAAAAGCTCAATTTTTTCACTGTAAAATATTATTCGAAAGGTGTTCCATGCTGTAAAGCATGCAAACTAAATGATTCCAAGCATTGCTGTAAATCCCATAACAAAAGTACGGCTGATTAGCCTAGTCGGTAAAGCATCTGAAAGTGTTACGCTTAAGACGCGTCGAATCCCGAACACCTAAATACGCATAATAATTCACATTTTAAGTTTCACCTTCAATGTAGACTAGCACAAATAAAAATTAACCATAATCTAATGTATTACATCAAAATTATGCTTATGTTTTAATTGACAATATCAGATTAGGATGAAAAAATTACAGAAATGAC